ATACTGGGGAGAAGACAGCTGGGGGAGCCTGAGTTTGGAAGCTCAGCTCACCACCTCATCCAGCCTTCTTTTTTTTTAATTTATTTATTTATTTTAATTGGAGGCTAATTACAGTCATCCAGCCTTCTTCTCCCAGCTTTACGCCACTCCGCTGCTCATCCCGTCCTCCCCGCAGGACCTTCTCTGCCTCCTACTGCTCTCCCAGTGTGGCTGCATCCCTGCCCAGAGCCCCTTTCTGGCCATTTGTCCTTTTGTTCCTGTGGCCTTGTGACAGGGGCGGGGCTGAGAGAAACATTGGTTTCTTGCATTTGATCTGGGAGCCTGTGTTCTGGGGACTCTGTCTGCAGTGAAATGCTGCCAGGCCCACACTGCTCTTTGGTCAGCAGCAGGCTCTAGCCCTGGAGGTCTCTTGAGACAGGAGGCCGAAAAAGGGTGGCCACGTGGACTCTGGAGACTCAACTTTTCCTCCTGCTTCTCTGCATCTGATCTCTGATTAAACTTGTGTGTGTGTGTGAGTGTGTGTGTGTTGGGGGAGGGTATCTTTAAGAATACAACAGGAGAGATGGTTAGAGGCAGGATGACTCGCTCATCTTCAGGGAAACATCAGATTTGGTGGATGTTTATTAGGGAGAGGCTCAGTCAGCCTTGTCATACACGCGTCTTGGGTCAGATTTCACATTATTAGGGGTGACATTTGAATTAAGTTACCTTGCAGCGTGGTGGCCTTGACCTGTCATAAATCATAAACCTGTGAAGCTAGGTTCCTTTTTCTTTCTCCTCTTCTTTCCTTCCCTTCCTCTCTTCTCTCTCTCTCTATCCAGTGCTGTTGCCTACCACCAGATCTTCATTATTACTTAGTAGAAATCACATCTGTTATTCAAAGGAAGCAAACATAGCTTGCTTGGTGGTACAGATGAATCAGGGACTTGCGACCAAAGGGAGTGGGTAGGTGGGATAGGATGAGATACTAAACTCTTTCTCGGGGACAGTTACATACTTTCTACCACTGTTGCCGCTGGTCCTTTCAGCCCCTCTCCAGCTTCCATCCCCAGTGCCGGGGTCTAAGGGTGTTTTACTTCTGTGCTTGAGATGAGCTGAAGTTTGGAAAGGAATTGTTACTGCTTGGAGTGCCAACAGTGCCTGCAGTGTAGGGCCAGGTCAGAACTTGGAAGGTGTTCTTTTACGTCACTGTAAGGTCTGCTGGTTAGCCTGTGCCCACCATCCTAAAGCACAGCGCATCATTCATGGTTATAGAAGTGATTATGGTCACTGTGTGTGCTCAGCCCCTTAGTTGTGTCTGACTCTTGCGACCCCGTGGACTGTAGCCCGCCAGGCCCCTCTGTCCATGGGATTTTCCAGGCGAGAATACTGGAGTGGGTTGCCATTTCCTTCTCCAGGGAATCTTCCTGACCCAGGGATCCAACCCACATCTCTTGTGTCTCCTGCATTGGCAAGCCAATTCTTTACCACTAACGCCACCTGGGAAGCATTGTATAATGGGGTATAATTTATAGTATTGCCTATATTGTCTTAGTTTTCCCATATATGCCTGCCCACTAGTTTTTACAGATGTCGCACACATGGACACATACACAATTACAAATTCATGAACCTACTTTTACAAAATGAGGAAACCCTTGGTAAGGTACTGAGGTCACTTGATACTTGAAGCAATAAGCCTAATTGACCTTTAAATCATGAGAGTGAATTATTAAACTTTAATAATTTTTAAGCATGTTTACTTCCCAGGTCATATTTATTTTTGAATTTGCATTTTGGTGCTAGGTTCTATCACAAATGTCCCACTAAGAAGAATGACAACTAATCTGCTGACTTAATTTGAATGACTTTTCTTGCTTTATCATTTTTGTAGTGAAGGAAGTATTGACTTAAATTAAGTGTTTTTAAAGAAAAGGTGAATACTTACAGTATTTAGAATGTCTAGATTCCTGCATTTTATCTTTATATTTAGTTTGAATCTTGCAAATAAAAATTGGAACATAACCAAGCATGAATTGAGCATTTCTGCCCAGGAGCTTTTTATCCAGCTGCTTCAAGGAACTTGAAATTGAAGCACAGTGATAAACCAAGAAGTCAGCAGTTCAGACTTCTGATTCACTGAAACAGTTTTCATCAGTTGAGAAGCAAAAATCGATATATTTTTCTACTATGGAAAAAGACCTGAGGCCTTCAATCAGAATTTATTCACTTAATTTTGCATATGATTATATATAGACCTTAATTATCTAATTTATCAGATTATAAGCTGTTTAGAAACTTTCATTTAGGAAACTGAGGGCAACTAAAGTCAGACACAATTCTAGCTTGATAGAAAGACAGGAAGCAGAAAAATGACTGTTCTCTGTAGTAAAATGCATCATGTTGTGATTATAAAGACAAATTCAGATTATGGTTTACATATTCTGCCTCAGAAGGCATAGAAGCACATACTATATTCTATGAGGGCCTTTAAAAATTCAATATTGTCTAAATAAAATCAGTTTTACAGTGTAAGGCACTTTTCTTCCTATATTATCATCTGTAGTACATTGCACTTGAATTATTACACACGAATGATATCCATGTGCGTGCATGTGTGCTAAAGTCGCTTCAGTCATGTTCAACTCTTTGCAACCCTATGGACTGTAGCCCACCAGGCTCCTCTGTCCATGGGGTTCTGCAGGCAAGAATACTGGAGTGGGTTGCCCTGCCCTCCTGCAGGGGATCTTCCCACCCAAGGACTGAACCTGACATATCAGTGTGACTGCATGTTATCCTAGGAAACTGAGGGAGAACAGTCTTAACCTCCTGGCTCTCAAACTTTTCCAGGCAAGATCCCGTATTCAAAAAAGATTCTGACTTGAAATCCAGACGGAAAGCAAGGCAAGGAAGAGGTATTCTGGCTTCGATGAGTGTATGTTTGCCCCTTCCCACCATCCCCAGTGGCTTTCGGAGCCTCATGGAGCCCTTACGCAACCTCATGCAGACCCCAGCACAGAGCACACGGCCAGGCACAAAACTCAACCAGGGCAGGGCTTAGCTGGAGAGAGGCTTTTCAGGTGGCCTTGAATCAGCCTGTAAGTGGTGTCACTTTGCTTGCCTGCTGTGAAATCTCCTAGGGTGTTGGTGGATAATGAGTAGAATGAGATCGACTTTCAAGCATCACTATAACTCTTGAGCAACAGGACTCTAGAGCCCCATGCATTTGCTGCAGGTTACACTAAAGCGGTGGTCCCCACCAGGAGTTCCAGCCAACAGGAGCGCATCAAGAGTTTGCTAATGGGCACTCAGCTAATGAAAAACTACAGACCTAGAATTTTACTATTGTTGCCTTGAATGATGTTGCCACTGCTGGTGCTGCCGCTTCTACTAGTCATTCTCTTGTTCTCTCTCCCCTTCTCCCACCCCTTCCTTTTTCTTCCCACCCATCATCCCCTCTTTCTTTTCAGTAGTAAAGCCAAGACACTTTTCAGTAGTGTACTGGATGCTTGGATTTCCCTTTATCCTGTCTTTTTGCAAAATCAGTTGATTGCCAAACTTGCTTAAAGTTCCAGACCATGTCCTTTCCTCAGGCAGAGGAAAACCAAGAATGATGAAAGCATTTGCAAGCACGGTACCTAAACCTTAGGCAGTGGGTATCAGGGTGACATGTGTCGTTGCCTCAGTATTGACTGCAATGTTCTTGGTGCTTGACTGGTGTCTGATGGCACTGTGGAGACCCGTGTTTGAATGGGTAGAGCCGTCTAGGAGGAAGGAGGCTATAGTTTCTTTGCCGATTCTGTCCCTCCCAAGGTGCTGGTTTGCATTTCTTCCAGGCTCCTTTTGTAGCAGCATCACCTCAATTTTTAGCTCAAAAATCAAATCCCAGTAGGAGAAGCCAGTCCTTAGAATGTACCCTTTGGTAGTGCCTTTCTTGAGGACAGGGACTCGGGGCCTTCACACATGGATGCTTTGATGGGCTATTTCACAGATTGGCTTTGTTATAGTAAGTTTCTTTCAGCACTCAAACCGCCAAATTATTCATGCAATTCTGCCTTTTAGCTTGTCCTTGGTAGAGAGACCTGAGCACTGGTAGCTTACACTTTCCATGGCACTAGGAGCAATGAATCAAGATTTCCACACCTTCCTCTCTCTCTCTAGTGCTTGTTTTTTAGTGAGAGAAAAGATCGGCCTCAGAGAGTATTTTTATTGTGACTTTTTAACTCATCCTGAGTGTCAGAGAGGCCAAACTGTGCAATGCTTTTAAGCAGGAGTCTGGTTTCAGACTGCCTGGTCCTGCTGTGTTCTAAGTGTATAACTTCCTGTGCCTCAGCTTTCTTATCTCTATAATGGAAGTAAGAATAGTATCTGTTTCTCAGGGTGGTGAGGATTAAATGTTACAGTTTGTGAAGTGCTTACCGGAATACCTGGCACATGGCAGGTAATACATTCGTGTGAGCTGCTGTTACTGTTACTGTTGCTGCTGCTATGATGATGATAATGATTAGTAAAAAGTAGACTTGTCTTTTTACTTTCCAGATGATTTGGGCAGAAACTCAAGTAGGTTTGTTTAGGTTTGTGCTGGGAATAAAACCCCAAGGTGATGGCCCCTTGAAATGTAGACTCTTTGTAGGGAAAGAGTGCTTGTTTTGAATCTGGGATGTTGGCCCTACCCCTTAGAGTAAACATGGAAAAAAAAAAAAATTGGAAGATAGCACCTACCATGTTAGGTTATGAAATTTAAGAAAAAAAAAAAAACCACACAGAATAAAGAGCCTGGCTCATAGTATATACTCAACATATAACATCTAGTATATGATTATATTGTAAAAAGAACATCTCAGCCACCTGAAGTCGTGACTATGGAGCTGCTTAGTAGATCAAAGGGCTATTGAAGGTTTATGATAAAGTTTTAAATTGGTTTATGTTTGCTTCATTTACATATGTTCTCTTTACTACCAGGGAACCCTTCAGAACAGACTGTTAACGTTTCTTCTTATCTTCTGAATTGTCTGTTGTAGAAATCAGCTCTCAGGAGGAAGTGTGCGGTCTGTAAGATTGTCGTCCATACCGCCTGCATTGAACAGCTAGAAAAGGTGAGACCGCGCCACCTGCTGCAATCTTTGCGGTCCTGCAAGTGTTTGGACTTCAAAGACAAAGCGTCAGTTTTCATTTTCAACTTCTTGACAACCACGCTCTTTTAAAAACCTAGAAGTCCAACATTATTACCAGATTAATAATGGAAGGACTATGCTTACAGTTCCCATCCACTCTGTTGTTTACTGAGCTTTAATTTGATATCATTTTATGTTGACTCTTGGGTAAAGGAATAAAAACGTTAGAGAGAAAAGCCTGGTATGGGCCTATTTCTTCACAATAATAGCAAGTGGTGAATACCCATGGGATTTGTTGGTTTTTTAGGGTAACTCATTCTAGTTGGTAACTCATTCTATATTTCCCTAATATAATACACTTTTCTTTTTAAATGACAGATTAATTTCAGATGTAAACCAACATTTCGAGAAGGAGGTTCAAGATCACCAAGAGAAGTAAGTATTGCAGAGCTCTAGTGTAAACACCACCTTTTATTTCCCATTGATTCATTGGATTCATAGTCACCAGGGATTAAAAGAAAACCTGTCTCCCTCCATTTCACATTAGTGTCTTATCAGTATCTCAACAAATACAATCAGTAAACCCCCCAAGTCTCTTCAGTGTGTGTCTGCTACCCTTTCTTCTTCTCATAGAATGCCCTGGAGAGCTAAGGTTTTATTGAATGAACCAGAAAGTGGGGAGAGGGAATGGTGGTAGAATTGAAAAGGTAAGAAAGAAATAGTATTTTATTGGCTTTTGGTCTATTTTAATTCCACCTGGAAGAGGTGGCAACTAAACTGAGACCCAAAGGATTGATCTGAGTGACGGTTTGGGGGATAGTTAGGTCGGGGGTGAGTGAGCATCTTCTAGATAGAACACATGCACACAGCCTCAAAAGTGAGAGACATACGAGAGAGGCATAAGACCCACGAGATGAGCAGAAGCGAGACCACGGAGGCTCTTGTAAGCAAGGATGCAAGTTGCATGTCCCATCATCATAGTAATTAGAGGGGGCATTGAACAATTTTAAGCAGAATATATTAATCTGGCTACAGTGTGGAGGGGATGGATGCCATGTATTTCAAGAGCAGCAATGTTACAGGCATGGAGGAAATTGGCCATTCTCTTAGTCTAGGCAAGTGATAATGGTGATCTGAACTAACAGTGTTACTGAGATGGAGGAAATTGGTAAATGTGAATTTGAAGGAAATAAGATGGTCAGGATATATTAGTTGATTGGATTTTGGAAACAAGGAGAGGGATTGTTTTCAGTCACTAAGTTAGGTCTGACTCTTTGTGATCCCCATGGACTGCAGCACACCAGGCTCCCCTATCCTTCTTCAACTCCCTGAGTTTGCTCAACCTCAAGTCCATTGAGTCGGTGATGCTATCCAACCATCTCATCCTCTGTCGCCCCCTTGTCTTCGTGCACTCAGTCTTTCCCACCATCAGGGTCTTTCTGTGAGTCAGCTGCTCGCATCAGGGGGCCAAAGTATTGGAGCTTTAGCTTCAGCACCAGTCCTTCCAGTGAATATTCAAGATTGATTTCCGTTAGGATGGACTGGTTTGATCTCCTTGCTGTCCAGAGGACTCTGAAGAGTTTTCTCCAGCACGACAATTTGAAAGTATCAGTTCAGCACTCAGCCTTCTTTATGGTCCAGCTCTTCCATCTCTGCATGACTACTGGAAAAACCACAGCTTTATGCCGAGCTCCCCTGTCCTTTGACTATAAGGACAAATATGTTAGCAAATGAATTGCCTTGAGGATATGATAGAGAAGTAATGAGTTCAGTTGTAGAACTCTCAAGTTTGAGTTGTCCTGAGGCTCCCAGTTGGTGATACCCAACAGAAAGCTGAGTGGTTATTAAAGTTTAGAGCTTATGAGGAAGATTGGGCTAGAGGTTAGACATTGGTGAATTGTCAGCATTTCGAGGTAGTAATTAAAGCTATGAGATTGATAACTGGGTAAGATAGGAATAGAAGGACATCTGAGTATAGATTGGTGTTAATGGCAGTTAATGAGTGAAGACACAGTGAAGAAAAATAATATTATTACTGATTAATACAAGCAGATTGGGAGAAAACATGGAGAGAGAATAGGCTGGCAGTGGAGGTTGTAGAGAGAGATAAAAATAGCTGTCCCCGTTAGCTGTCCGCTCCCACTGTGCTTGTCTATTATGTCAGCAAGAGGTTGGTTACGGGTCATACGTAGGGTGAGAAAGTCTTAAGGAAAATGATAGGGTTGTGTTTACCCTAGACGTCATTGGAATACACTATAGCCCTGGCCAAGGGATAACTCAGTGATAGCTCAAATGAAGGAGAAATTTTATTTAGGACAATAGAAGAAATCGTTCTGAGTTTTTAAATGGACTTTACAAATTTCTAACCAGGGTATCCATATGTCTACATTTGTCTCCCTGTCCTTTAATTTCTCTTTTTCCATTTGGATAGGTAGTTGTAATTGTTTCTAATTTCTAACACAGGGATTTGGGGGGATGTGTTTTCAGTAGCTGTGTTATTTCTCTTCTGTGAAGCCAGACCCTTCATAAGTGTTTTCAGTATCTTCTTTTGTCTTCATATCAAGGACTTGCTATTTCTTCCATGCCCACATTTCCAACCCCTCACCTTCCTTCTAGATTTTTTCCATCACCATAAACATGCTCTGAGAGCTCCCATCTTTAAAAAAAAAACCAAACAGGAATACTCCTTAACTACCAGCTGTGTCTTAATTGCAGCTTTGAATCTCAGTGTTGTGTTCAGTGCTGAAGTTCCAGAAAGTGTTAGCCATGGAAACTGTTTCTAGCGTGTTTCCCTCCTAGGCATTTTAACCTGTTCCAATCTGGTTTTACTCTACCCATTCACTGAAATTGCTTTTTAAAATCTTGCCAATATCTCCTTGATGCCAGATTCATTAGATATTTTCTGTTCTTATTCAGTCTTTCAAATGTGTTCAAACTACTCAGTATTTCCTCCTTCTTGAAATGCTCTCCTGTCGTGACAGCTTTCTTAATGTTCCTCTTAAATATTTCACTGGGTAGTCCTTTCATTGTTCACTCCCTGATTTCTGCGTATTTGTTGGGCTTGTTAGTACTGGACTACACTTTGCCTACTGTCGTTGGGAGAATGCCTCCAGTCCTTTGGCTTTCAATATCATGTCTGGGTTGACAACACTTGGAGTTCTATTTGGTATGCCCATTGAATGTGTCAGAGTCATCTCAAATGTAAGACATTACTAACTAAATTCTATTGCCATCACTGTAAAAACTATATTTTTCCATTGTTTTGTATCTCAGAAAATGAGGTGACTATTGGTCCAGCTCCCCAAATGAGAAAACAGGGTGTCATAATGATGCTTCTGTCAGGTACTCCCCACACTTAATCCATTTGCCAGCCCTATCAGTTTTATTTATAAAATATATTTCAAATCATGCATTTATCTCCATTTCTGTTGTCAGTGCCCTAGACTGAGATGCCATGATCCCTTGCTTTTGACCACTGCAGTAACTTCTCCGGGATTCTTTAATTTCCCCCATCAATCCACCATGATATAAGAGAGTGATCTTTTAAAGTGAACATTGGATTATATCATTTTCCAGCTTAAAACTCGGCAGTGGTTTCTGTGTCATTTAGAGGAAAACTGCACCCCTTGGCTTGGCATGAAAAGTCAAAATTCCTTCATAGGCTGGGCCAGCCACCCTCTTCCAACCCATCCATCTGCCATGTGGATTTCAGTTCTTGAGGCACACATCAAGATATTCTTCACCTTCTGATATTTGTGTGTTTTGTCACTGCACTGGAGATCTCTATTCGTGAACAGCTGTTTCTTACGGTTAGAGCCCCTCAGAGGTCTTCGTTGGTGACCACCTCTAAATAGGTCGCACATTGGTTCTTTATCAAAGCACCTTGTTCTGCCCTTCAGAGCACTTTCTGTGTCATAGTTATTTACAGGTATTAGTCATTTGCTTGTATGTTGTCATCCTCCTGTAGTGTAAGCTTTGGGAGATCACTCATGAAATTTGTTCCAAACTCGTTGTACTGGGCAGAATGCAGAAGATGTGATCAGTGAATATCTTTTGACCAAATGAATTTATAGAGGAGTGAAAGTGTTAGTTGCTTAGTTGTGTCTGACTCTTTGTGACCCCATGTTCTCTTCATGGAATTCTCCAGGAAAGAACACTGGAGTGGGTTGCCATTCTCTTCTTTAGGGCATCTTCCTGACCTAGGGATTAAACCTGGGTCTCCTGCATCACAGGCAAATTTTTTACCAATGAGCCACTGGGGAAGCCCATGAAGGGGTTAATTTCCCCCCAAATCTCTAAGAACTCTTATTCTAAGGGTACAATTTGGAAATGGTTCTTATGTCACATGCTCTGTGCTGTGCTTAGTCACTTAGTCATGTCTGACTCTTTTCAACCCCATGGACTGTGGCCCATCAGGCTCCTCTGTCCGTGGGATTCTCCACGCAAGAATACCTGAGTGGGTTGCCATGCCTGCCTCCAAGGCATCTTATCAACCCAGGGATGGAACCCAGGTCTCCCACATGGCAGGCAGATTCTTTACTGACTTAGCCACCAGGGATGCATGACCCATGGGGACTCTTAGTTAAGAGACCTTAGAGAGTTTACTTCATGTAAATGGAAGAAGCAGTCACTTTAGAATTAGTTTGACTTGTGTTCACGGGACATCTCTGCTTCTTTTTCCCTCAGTGGTGTCTCTAGGGCTGGGACCTGGAGTGGGGTTGTTAATCACTGTCTCCCAGCTTTGTGGGGTGCTTGATACCTGAAGATGTTTTTTAATGAATGTTGGTTTGACTCCTCTAAGTTGAAACATTCTAGATGGACTCAGTTTCCCTAGACATAAGCTGCTTGGATTGGTCTATAATTTCTAAGATACTTTAAAAAACTCTATGAGTAATGCTTTGCCAACAAAGGTCTGTCTAGTCAAAGCTATGGTTTTTCCCATAGTCATGTATGAATGTGAGAGCTGGATTATAAAGAAAGCTGAGATCCAAAGAATGGATGCTTTTGAACTGTGGTGTTGGAGAAGACTCTTGAGAGTCCCTTGGACTGCAAGGGGACCCAACCAGTCCATCCTAAAGGAAATCAGTCCTGAATGTTCATTGGAAGGAATGATGCTGAAGCTGAAACTCCAATACTTTGGCCACCTGATTCGAAGGGACTGACTCATTGGAAAAGACCCTGATGCTGGGAAAGGTTGAGGGAAGGAGGAGAAGGGGATGACAGAGGATGAGATGGTTAGATGGCATCGCCAACTCATTGGACATGAGTTTGAGTAAACTTTGGGAGTTGGTGATGGACAGGGAGGCCTGGCATGCTGCAGTCTATGGGGTTGCAAAGAGTTGGACACAACTGAGTGACTGAACTGAACTGAATATTATGAATTGAACTGGCTGCTTTGGACAATAATTGAGCAATTGTGTTAGCATTTTTGCTAACCATACAGAAGATAATCCCTGAAATAATGGATCACCAAGATTTTAACACCCATAAGTAATAGCCCTATTCTTACCCAGTACTTGACAGTGGTATATGAATAATTCAGATTTTTGATGAACAATAAAAAGATGTTATAGTATTAGAAGCCTTGCTCTGCTATCTTAACAGCATGTATCAACACTCACATTTACTATGTGAGGCTTCTGAGTCTAATTTCAGTTCAATAATTTAGGAGAAATGAATAATAGTCAAAAGGAAATAGTATGAAAAATTTAAGAGCTTGGGAAAGATGGATGATAAAACAGCAGTGATTCTCTAGAAGTGTTCTTTTTCCCCGAACTGATAAAAAACAATAGATGATCTTCCAAAATGGTAGCTATGTGATTTGTCAAGGAAATTAGGTTGAGAATTTCATTCATTTCAACACATTATTGGCTTTCACTTTGTTCAAGCTATGTTTAAGTGGCAATAGAAAAAAAATTAGATCTAAGAAGACTTCTAAACAGATGGATACTTGACATCTCAAATCAGAGTCACAGAGACAATTACTCAGCTTCTACAGTGGTGATTTGTATGAGTTATTTTATCTGTGCCTCAATTGCCTACCTGTTTCCTAGGAAGGGTGATATTAAAAATATTCAACAACTTGCAGAGTCATAAGTATTTAAATAAGCAATTTTAAAATGTTCTCTTTTACTCCCTAAATAAACTAAACTACATGGTATTATAAATCTGTTTACCAAACAATATATGTTGTCACACAAATGATTCATTGTCAGTCTTATAGTTTCTCAATAATTGTTGATTTGTGGAAATTGCCGGTTTAATCTTTTGATTAGGGTTGTCACTCACTAAATAATCCCATGAGTCAACCATGATTTCTCATAGGTAATTGCATCAAATTCTTCCAGTGTTTCCCCCCTTCAATTCTTAAATGGAGAGTCATTAGGTGATTTATAATCTCAATAAGCAGAGTTTCTCTTAACATCAGTGTTATTGTTCATTATCCCCCAGCTTCTGCTAAACTAACAGCAATTATAGTAAATTTTTCTATCTCTCATAATACTGCCTGACATTTTTATGTATTCAATATTTCCACTACTGACTGTCATTGAAATCATTTATTGAAAGAGCTTGAACTTGATGTTTCAGAGCAGAGAAGAGGCCCTGCAACAGAGTCGTTGAGAATACAGGCTCTGTTGCCAGCCTGCCTGGGTTTGAATCCTTGCTTGGCCCTTGAATTTTGAAGTCACCACTCTATACCTTAGTTTCATCATCTGTAAAATGAGGATGATGATGATAATTCAAGTCAAGCCTTTTGATAAGCTGCCCTACAATGATGTGAATTAGGATAGACTACAATTAGCAGTTGGCCCCTGTCCTCCCAGACAGCGGGCTAAAGTGCTTCTCATGTGGGTGGGCTGAAAAGCTGAAGTAGTCTGCCTCATCTATGAGGTGAAGGGTCTGGTACCTTCATCCCAGTAGAATTTCTGCACTGACCTGGAGGTATGGGCAGTGAGCAGGTTCCTGGACTTGCAGCCATAGGCCCCTGAATTGTTTATATTGATACCTGGACAGACAGCTGCCATCAGCGGGGCATAGCCCAGTTTTCTGACTTTGTGGGGGAACCCATTGGCATTGTCCAGGCAACATGGTTTATTTTCAGAAGAGAGCTCCAGAATCTTAGAGACCTGTTATGCCCAAAATTAGCATTCTAACTTCTTAATAATGAGGAAGTAGAAATGGTGTGTAGTGTTGAGGGCACGGGGGGTGCTGTGGTATCTATGGAAGAGCCAGAGGGATGGTAGAAGCATCGAACTGCAATTTATCAATCAATATAGACATTTTTCAATGTTTTTTACCAACTCAGGGTTTTACTAGTAGTTATCAACTAAATAGCACCTCTACTCATGAAAATTAAAATTATTTTTAGTTATTTAATTTAATTGGAGGATAATTACAACGTTGTGATGGTTTTGCCATACATCAACATGAATCAGCCATGGGTGCACATGTGTCCCCCCGTCCTGAATCCCCTTCCCACTTCGCTCCCCACCCCATCCCTCTGGGTTGTCCCAAAGCACTGGCTTTGAATGCCCTGCTTCATGCATCAAACTTGCACTGGTCATCTATTTTACATATGTTAGTATACATGTTTCAATGCTATTCTCTCAAATCATCCCACCTTCTCCCACCATTCACCTTCTCCCACAAGAGTCCAAAAGTCTGTTCTTTATACCTGTGTCTCTTTTGCTGTCTCGCATATAAGATTGTCATTGCCATCTCCCTAAATTCCATATATGTGTGTTAAAATACTGTATTGGTGTTTCTCTTTCTGGCTTACTTCACTCTGTGTAATAGACTCCAGTTTCATCCATCTCATAAGAACTGACTTAAATGTGTTCCTTTTTATAGCTGAGTAATATTCCATTGTGCATATGTACCACAACTTCCTTATCCTTTTGTCTGCTGACCGACATCTAGGTTGCTTCCATGTCCTAGCTATTGTAAACAGTGCTGCAATGAACATTGGGGTACATGTGTCTCTTTCAACTCTGGTCTCCTTGGTGTGTATGCCCAGCAGGGGCATTGCTGGGCCATATGGCAGTTCTGTTCCCAGTTTTTTAAGGTATCTCCACACTATTCTCCATGGTGGCAACAGTTTGCATTCCCACCAGCAGTATAAGAGGGTTCCCTTTTCTCCACACCCTCTCCAGCATTTATTGTTTGTAGACTTTTTGATGGCGGCTATTCTGACCACTGGAAGATGATACTCATTGTGATTTTGATTTGCATTTCTCTGATGATGAGTGACGTTCAGCATCTTTTAATGTGTTTATTAGCCATCGGTATGTCTTCTTTAGAGAAATGTCTGTTTAGTTCTTTGGCCCACTTTCTGATTGGGTTGTTTGTTTTTCTGGTGTTGAGCTGCGTGAGCTGCTTATGTATTTTGGAGATTAATTCTTTGTCAGTTGTTTCATTTGCTATTATTTTCTCCCATCCTAAAGACTGCCTTTTCACCTTGTTTATTATTTCCTTCATTATGCAAAAGCTTTTAAGTTTAATTAGGCCCCATTTGTTTATTTTGTTTTTGTTTCCATTACACTGAGAGGTGGGTCATGGAGGATCTTGCTGTGATTTATGTCAGAGAGTGTTCTGCCTATGTTTTCCTCTAAGAATTTTATGGTTTTCTGGTCTTACATTTAGATCTTTAATCCAGTTTGAGCTTATTTTTGTGTATGGTAATAGATGTGTAAGGCATTTTAAAAAGTGCATGACACAGAGATACTACTCAAGAAATGTTAACTATTATTATTAGCTTCTTTCTGAGAACAGTGTAAGAATTGTGTCCTAATTTTATTAAACTACCACAGTAGAAAAAGCAAGACAAAAACTAGACTAAATAGTAGGACCATTATACTTCTTTATATCTTATTATAGTTAAAAGACCATTGTTCCTCCAGGATCTTTGTTTAGTTTTAATTTAAATTGATTTGACATAATGAAGAGAAATAGAGGTGACATTTTGGAATTGATAATGCTAATGCTTGTTAGAGGTATCTTTGTCACTCTGAATTTCATGTCTTGACATAACATTTTTTTTCTCAACACTGATCTGTTTTCTGTGTCCCTCCTTACTTAGAACAATGCCTGGATAGTAGGCATTTGGTAAGTATTTGCGAAGCTGAATATTATTAGAAGGCCTATTTTAAAGGGAAAATATAGACTGTGGCCTGACAATACAAATGTTAATTTCAGGTAAGGTATGTGTTCTTAGAAAAGGACAGGAGAAAAACATTTTAACAAGTATTTTAGGTGAATTGGCCTAAGAGAGATGAATTGTGTGTAGGTTACTAGGGTTTACCTGTAGCGCTAGGCCTGAAGACCACTTTCTCTCTTATAAAGCATCTCAACAGCTGGGTGACATGTGCTTCTTCAGTGATATCTGTTTGGCAGGAAAAGGACCTTCCACGTTTCCTACAGCACACGCTAAGAATGGGGGCTTCCTGGGTGGTGCAGCGGTGAAGAATTCACCTGCCAGTGCAACAGATGCAGGAGACATGGGTTGGTTCCCTGCGTCGAAAAGCTCCCCTGGAAAAGGAAATGGCAACCCACTCCAGTATTCTTGCCTGGAGAATCCCATGGACAGAGGAACCTGGTGGGCTACAGCCCATGGGATCACAAAAGAATTGGACACAACTAACTGACTAAGCACACACACAAATAAACCCAGGATAGACCTTGGAAACTGATCTCATTCAGAATACCTAAGGACAACCTCATTACAGAATTTCACGATATGCCCATGTCTCGTCTTTGTCATCACTTTTCTTCAGCGTTTCTCTTTCTTTACTTTCACTAGTTAAAAAACAAACAAACTCTCAAATCATGAGATCTATTTCTTTCTGAGAATTTGATTTCTTTAAAATTCTTCCTAACACAAATGTTGAGTATGATGCTTGCCTGGCACTTATAAAGCATTAAATACACATTTGTTTTCTAAAATGGATGTCTTTATCCTTCTCTCCTTCACCTCCTTTCTTTAAGAAATTTCTTACCTGCCTCAGTTACCTCCCTGCCCAAGGTCACACACCTAAGCCTTGTTTTTACTAAGAAGAAAGCAGAGTACCAGGAATTCATTACAGCCATTTGTCACCAGGAAGCTGCAGAGAGAAGGCGTGACTAATGGTTTCTGCAAACATGAAAGATCACCAAAGATGGAGACTTAGCTTCGTTTTCCCAAGAGGATTCATGTTTATTGTTAAACAAATCACATAGGCACATACTTGTTTCTGTGCTGAGATGGGCTTAAATGATTGTTCATGGAAATCTCTACTCTTAAAACACTTTGAAAAAGAATCCTGGAGCTTGCAGGTTGAAACGTATTCATTTACTTTTGTTTTCCCACAGAATTTTGTGCGTCACCATTGGGTGCACCGGCGTCGGCAGGAAGGAAAGTGTAAGCAGTGTGGGAAGGTAAGGCGTTGCCCTGCACGTTCGTGAATTGCAGGAGGGTGCTCAGGCCTTGGCAGGCACCTGAGGTAGATGAGTCCCATCACCTGAATCCAGGGCTCAGTATGTCACTTCCCTTCCAAAGGCCTCCTTCCTTTAGGCCTCCTTCCCTTAAGATGGGCTTCCCTGCTAGCTCAGATGGTAGAGTGTCTGTCTGCAATGCAGGAGACCTGGGTTCAATCCCTGGGGTAGGAGATCTCCTGGAGAAGGAAATGACAACCCACTCCAGTACCCTTGTCTGGAAAATCTCATGGGCAGAGGAGCGTGGTAGGCTGCAGTCCATGGGGTCCCAAAGAGTTGAACACAACTGAGTGACTTCATTTTTTTTTCCCCCTTCAGAGGTGTTCTTTTTGTTCTAGAACTCCCTCAAGAGGCAGTGGTCTTCATAGCAGGGATTGACATGCTCTGAGTGCTAATCCCTGGTATGAAGGGATTTTTATTTCATTGTTGACAATTAAGAAAACGAGACTTCCTCTCTTGTTTAAACTCCCTCCTGAGGATTGCGGGTGCATCACACACTTCTTCAAACAACAACAGAAAATCAGCAGGTGGATGAGCGACGCGGCTTGTGTTGATATGTTGTGGTTGAGCAGAACCGGGTAGATGGACAACATGGAAGCAAGAAGTGTGTTGCTCTCCTGGGATATTACCTGCTTCCTAGAAAGAGATGCCCTTCTCATATGTGGTCATTTATGTCTTCTCCTTGAGTGTCATGGGCTGTAAGCCCCTCAGGGTGCAGGGCCACGTGTAAGAGTAGGGCAGGGCTCTTGAAAGCTGCATGCTCTGTAGACTGCCCGATATTGACCCTAACAGATTTGGGTTGTGGCTTTGTTCAGTGTACAGAGATCTACTTTAGGAATGGAAGGATGCTCTGAGATGGTTCATCCAGTGGTAAATCCTACTACTAAGATATTTTTAAAAATTACATCAATATAAGCTGGTCTTTTGATATTTCCAATTTTCCTGGAGAGATCTCTAGTCTTTCCCCTTCTGTTGTTTTCTTCCAATTTTATGCACTGTTCATTGAAGAAGGCCTTTTTGTCTCTCCTTGCTATTCTTTGGGACTCTGCATTTAGTTGGATATACCTTTCCCTTTCTCCCTTGCATTTCTCTTCTCTTCTTTCTTTAGCTGTTTGTGAAATCTCCTCAGATGACCACTTTGCCCTTTTGCTTTTCTTTTTCTTTGGGATGGTTTTGTCCACTGCCTTCTGTACAATATTGCAGACCTCCGTCCGTAGTTCTTCAGGCACACTGTTTACTAGCTCTAATTCCTCAAATCTATTCATTACCTCTACTGCATTTTCATAGGGGATTTGATTTAAGTTGTACCTGGCTGTCCTAATGGTTCTCCCCCTTTTCTTTAGTTTAAGCCTGAATTTTGCTATGAAAAGCTGGTGATCAGAGCCACAGTCAGCTCCAGGTCTTGTTTTTGCCAACTGTTACAGTTTCTCCATCTTCAGCTACAAGGAATGTGATAAGTTTGATTTCGGTTTTGACCATTTGGTGATGTCCATGTGTAAAGTTGTCACTTGACTTGTTGAAAAAGGGTGTTAGCTATGACCAGTGCATTCTCTTGGCGGAATTCAGTTAGCCTTTGCCCTGCTTCATTTTGTTTTGAAGATTTCACACAAAGATAAGCACAATAAAGGACAGAAATGGTAGAGACCTAGTAGATGCCGAAGGGATCAAGAGGAGATGATAAGAATACACTGAAGAATTGTACAAAAAAGATCTTAATGAATTGGATTACTACAACTGAGTGGTCAAAGTCACTCAAAGAAAGACATTCTGGAGTGTGAAGTCAAGTGGGCCTTAGGAAGCACTACTGTTAATAAAGTTAGTGCATACGATGAAATTCCAGTAGAACTGTTCAAAACCCTAAAGGAGGATGCCATCAAGGTGTTGCATTCAATATGTCAGCAAATCTGGAAGACCCAGCAGGGGCCACGGGACTGGAAAATGTCAATCCTCATCCAAATTCCCAAGAAGGGTAGTACTAAAGAATGTGCTAACCACTGGACAGTTGCACTCATTTCCCATGCTAATAGTTGTTCAGTTCATTCATTCAGCTGTGTCTGACTCTTTGCAACCCCATGGCCTGCAGCATGCCAGGCCTCCCTGTCCATCACCAACTCCCGGAGCTTGCTCAAACTCATGTCCATTGAGTCGGTGATGCCATCCAACCATCTCATCCTCTGTCATCCCCTTCTCCTTCTGCCCTCAATCTTTCCCAATATCAGGGTCTTTTCCAATGAGTCAGTCTTTCACATCATGTGGCCAAAGTATTGGAGTTTCAGCTTCAGCATCAGTCCTTCCAATGAATATTCAGGACTGATTTCTTTAGGGTTGACTGACTGGATCTCACTGCAATCCAAAGGACTCTCAAGAGTTTTCTCCAACACCACAGTTCAAAAGCATCAATTCTTTGGCCTCAGCTATCTTTATAATCCAACTCTCACATCCATACATGACTATTGGAAAAACTATAACTTTGACTAGACGGACCTTTGTTGGCAAAGTAATGTCTCTGCTTTTTTAATGTGTTGTCTAGGTTGATCATAGCTTTTCTTCCAAGGAGCAAGCATCTTTTAATTTCATGGCTGCTGTCACCATCTGCAGTGATTTTGGAGCCGCCCCCCAAAAATAAAGTCTGTCACTGTTTCCATTGTTTCCCATCTATTTGCCATGAAGTGATGGGACAGGATGCCATGATCTTAGTTTTCTGAATGTTGAGCTTTAAGCCAACTTTTTCACTCTCCTCTTTCACTTTCATCAAGAGGCTCGTTAGTTCTTCTTCGCTTTCTGCCCTAAGAGTGGTGTCATCTGCATATCTGAGGTTATTGATGTTTCTCCTGGCAGTCTTGATTGCAGTTTGTGCTTCTTCCAGCCTGGCTTTTTGCATGATGTACTCTGCATATAAGTTAAAATAAGCAGGGTGACAATATACAGCCTTGACGTACTCCTTTCCCAATTTGGAACCAGTCTGTTGTACCATGTCTGGTTCTAACTGTTGCTCCTTGACCTGCATGCAGATTTCTCAGGAGGCAGGTCAGGTGGTCTGGTATTCCCCTCTCTTTCAGAACTTTCCACAGTTTATAGTGATCCGCAGAGTCAAAGGCTTTGGTATAGTCAATAAAGCTAAAGTATGTTTTTCTGGAACTCTCTTGCTTTTTTGATGATCTACTGGATGTTGGCAATTTGATCTCTGGTTCTTCTGCCTTTTCTAAATCCAACAAAACATCTGGAAGTTCATGGTTCACATACTGTTGAAGCCTGGCTTGGAGAATTTTGAGCATTACTTTGCTAGTGTGTGAGATGAGTGCAATTGTGCAGTAGTTTGAGCATTCTTTGGCATGCCTTTCTTTGAGATTGGAATGAAAACTGACGTTTTCCAGTCCTGTGGGCACTGATAAGTTTTCCAAATTTGCTTTCATATTGAGTGCAACACTTTCACAGCATCATCTTTTAGGATTTGAAAAAGCTCAACTGGAATTCCATCACCTCCACTAGCTTTGTTCATAGTGATGCTTCCTAAGGCCCACTTGACTTTGCATTCCAGGATATCTGGCTCTAGGTGAGTGATCACATCATCATGATTATCTGGGTCATGAAGATCTTTTTTGTATAGTTCTTCTGTGTCTTCTTGCCACCTTTTCTTAATATCTTTTGCTTTAGTTAGGTCCATACCATTCTGTCCCTTATTGTGCCAGTCTCTGCATGGAATGTTTCCTTGGTATCTCAGATTTTCTTGAAGGAGATCTCTAGTCTTTCCCATTCTATTGTTTTCCTCTGTTTCTTTGCTAGTAAGATCATGCTTAAAATCTTGCATGGTAGGCTTCAGCATTATGTGAACCAAGAACTTCCAGATGTCCAAGCTGGGTTTAGGAAAGGAAGAGGAACCAGAGATCAAATTGCTGACATTTTACTGGATTATAGAGAAAGCAAGGGAGTTCCAGAAAAACATCTATCTCTGTTTCATCGACTACACTAAATCTTTTGACTGTGTGGATCATGGCAAACTGTGGAAAGCTCTTAGAGAGTTGGGAATACCAGACCATTTTACCTGTCTCCTGAGAAACCTGTAGGTGGTTCAAGAAGCAACAGTTAGAGCCCTGTATGGAACAACTGATTGCTTCAAAGGAGCACGGAGAAAGCATTGAGAAAGGAGTGTGACAGGGCGGTCTGCTCTCACCCTGTTTGTTTAACCTATATGAGCACATCATGAGAAATGCTGGGCTGGATGCGTTACAAGCTGGAATCAAGATAGGCGGGAGAAACATCAACAACCTCAGGTATGCTGTTGATGCCACCCTAATAACAGAACGCAAAGAGCAACTAAACAACCTCTTGAGGAGGGTGAAGGAGGAGTGTGAAAGAGCTGGCTTAAAACTAAATATTAAACAAAACTATGATCATGGCACCTGACCCCATTACTTCATGGAAATAGAAGGGAAAAGGTGATGTAGTGACAGATTTCCTCTTCTTGGGCTCTAAAATAACTGTGGATGATGGCTTCAGCCATGAGATCAGAAGATGATTGCTTCTTGGCAGGAAAGCCATGACAAACCTAGACAGTGTGTTAAAAAGCAGAAACATTACTCTGCTGAAAAAGTCCCTATAGTCAAGGCTGTGGTCTTGCCACTAGTCATGTATGGTTCTGATAGCTGGACCTTAAAGAAGGCAGAGCACCAAAGAATTGATGCCTTTGAATTGTGGTGCTGGAGAAGACTCCTGAGAGTCCCTTGGATGCAAGGAGATCAAACCAATCAATCTTAAGGGATATCAACCCTGCATACTCATTGGGAGGACTGATGCTGAAACTGAAACTCCAGTATTTTGGTCATCTGATGTGAACAGCCAACTCTTTGGAAAAGACCCTGATGCTGGGAAAGATTGAGAGCAGGAGAAGAGGGTGTCAGTGGATGAGATGGTTTGATGGCGTCACTGATGCAATGGACGTAAAC